CAAGAGTCAGAGGCCGTTGGGCGCACTGGAGAAGGTGAGCACTAACATGTTTTCGAGCAATGTTTTGTCATCAAGTAATTTTGTTTTAAAGCCCTTCAAACATGCTCATTTGGGCATTTTTATGTGAAAGCCCGAGCCAACCCCAATCTAGTGGAGGCCATGCAGGGAGTTGCAACAACATTGGAACTGCAAACACCGCAGGCGGGAAATGAGACGGGAAACACTAACATGGTGCATAATGTGGTGTTCCAATTTCCAGGGATCTACACGTGATCGTTTTTCTCTCTTAGAGGTTCTCCGACCTACACTACTACAGTAATCAATTCCAGTATCATCTGCTTTGAGAGTTGCAAGGGCTATAGGCTACAGTAGCTCTATTGTGGTACTGTGTATCTCATGGGCCAGGCGCCATTGCAGGCAACTTGCGGGCCAAAAGCTAAGCCGGTCGCAAAGAACTCCAAGACAGGCATCAAGTTTACTGATGCCGGCCAGCCATATATTACATCATGGCCAACGTCAAGAGGTCAGATCAATATGATGGACCACAAACGGCAGTCAATACAGGAAGCAGCCATGTGGTGCCGCAAGGACTGGGGTTGCATGCACATGATAATAATTGTCTCTTTTGCAATGGGTGACCAAAATACACGCCATGCAATATGAATATGGTACTCATGTAGTTCGAGGCACCGCCTGTGGCATTGGAGCATGCACAGAGCTTCAACGGCAAGGCATTGCTCGGAAGCGATAGGACATTGGTGGTCTCATCTGGATTCTCAGGGTCGCTCGTCTTTGGAAGCTGTGAGTTGCAATGGCTAACATGGAACGGAGACTTAGTGTGGTAAATGCTGTTTGCTGGACAGAGGATCGATGCAAGCGCGCGAGCTGCCAAAGTTGTAGAAGCAAATGGAGCAGCCATCAAGTTCAAGCTTGCTTCTGTGATGCACCCATCTGCTGATGAATTGAGTGCTACTGACTATGTTACTGTAACTGTACTGCGTAGTTTCAAGATTGTTGAACGAACAGGTTGGTGTGTGCGATGTCGACCGGGAAGTTCAACATGGACTGGTATCAGACCCGTTCTTCAAGTGTCACTGCGTGTTTCAGGATGCGCCTCAGCCAGATCAAGGGCTGTTCCAAGGGGCAGGCAGTTTCAAATACTAGCTACTGTATTGTACAGTACACCAGGAATTTGACCAGCAAAGTAAAAACGGGAGAGACACGCACACAAACACCTACTGTAACATAGAACAAATGTGGTCATTTTGGGGGGACTGTGGCTGCACCTCTATCTCTTGTGAGGGGCTGTGGCCACTCATGGGGGGAACCCTTTTCAAGGCCCAAAAAGTGATTTTGGGGGGCCAGTTTAGTAAAGGATTTTATATAAAATTAGCCAAGGTTCAATAAAGGATTTTTTGGGCTGGTCCGAGTCTTTGTGAACCGGAGTGCAGTAGCCTCATAAGAGTCCAGTGGTCCTGTTGGGCTTTTGTGAGATCACTGCTGTTGTTTGGTTTTTGTGGATGTGAGGCCCTTGACTTGGTCGATGCCGAGACGCGGAGAGCTATCCAGAAAGCCCCGGATTCTAACACCATCCATAAGATCTTGGACAGCGGCGCTGTGAGGTGGCAGGCGAAAGCCCGATGCCTGAGGCACCCTCTCAAACCACATGGGTGTGATCTCCCAATGATGTCAGACCTAGCCCCCCGCCACAATTTCTATACCATTTGTGTTGATACTTTGGATGCTGTATGTGCAAGGTTACTGTAGCACAGATACTGTATGTTCGTAGCTTGTTGGGTTTCATGGCCAAGGACTTTGCAGGAGCATCCTGCAAGGATGACTCCAATCAGGGAAATCTTCAAAAAGACCGGGGGCAAGGCCGAAAGAGCGCAATCACATATTGGAGGCACCACTCACATTTGCATTTCATTTTGTAGTTGCTTGTCCGTATTCCGGAAAAGGTCATCTTGAGTGAGGAACAAATGTGTGATCTACAGTACTCTCACCTGGGAAGAACAAAAAAGGGATTGAAAACCCAACCGGTTCCGGTGCTTTTGTTCTGGAACAGTTTTGGCTGCGCATTCAACTGGGTAGGTGGCATATGGAGACAGCCAAGACAAAATTGATGATGAGCGAGAACGTGGTGACTGGAAGCATTCACGAAGAGGCGACCAGGTGTTTCGAGCGAAACAACCTTATGGATGTGAAGGTGGTGTTTACATCACCATGTGATTCTGGCTACGGTGCAATGCGTCGCTTTCGTGGCTGGACCGGCGCTCAATTTATCATGTACAGTAGGATGCGAGTCCTTTGCTTTTTGTACTTTCATGTGCTGCATTCCCGATGTGGAATCGTGGAACTGCCCCTTGACTCTCCACTTCTCCGGCAAAGGACCATTGCTCTTCGCCGAGATGCCGGCAGATGGCTGGGTGATCCCCAGGTTGCTTACGACAAAATGAGACTTGCACTGAGGGATCGACAGGTGCATATAGAAGATATGTTTTGGATGGAAGACCCAAAAATGTGCCTGGCCTGAAATACGTGCACTAACATGGAACCAAACTGTGCGCCACTAATTACAGTATACAAACCACTGTAGCTTCAGTCTCTCAGGTTGGACGAAGAACGAAAGCACTTTGTGAACAAGAACAGGGCATGGAAACCCACCTCTAAGAATCTGAGCCGGCATTACTGTACTGCATTGTTGCAATGGTGTTTGTGCATGGTTTGGCTGAGCGCAAATCGTTCCTGTTCCCAGCATCGCTTAGCCCACCAGTCGTGCTGCCAAGGGAAATGTTGACCGCCTGGGAGCTGAACAATTTAAATGAAGCATGGCTACGGATTGATCAGGACGGTTGTTGCCCATGTTGTGTTGCCTGCATGGATTCCGGTGCGGTTCCATGTTAGCTCTTGATCGTGGACACTAGCTGGAGGACCCGCGGCTCAAGTTTCTCCAGGACAAACATGTGGCAGTGCCACAACAGAGCGGCAGCTTCGCGAAGTTCACCTCCCCAAACTGGACTGGCCGTGTTCTGGGTAGCGCAAGCGAGAGCAATCATTTTCCATGCAAACTTCAGAGGTTCATGTTAACTTGGAAGGACGGTCCCCACCTTCACGACCGTGGACACCCTGTTCCACCGAAAGAAGGAGCGATTACTGACTATAACAGAACGTCTAGCAATCATGGGTTTCTGCGCAACCCCAGAAGTGGCAGAAATCTACCGCCAAGAGACTTGATCGCACTTCGTGACGCAGCTACTGTACCAAATCTCACATTTGGGGTGAAGATGGTGTCCAAAAAAATAGGTTACAGTTACTGTACGGTAGTTTCACGAGCTATGACATGTTCCAGGGTTTTCTTCATTTTGATTCGCTTGGGTTTGTGACCATGCCAACTCCGGGGCCCTGTGGTCAACCACTGGCACCATCCACCGGCATCAGCTCGGCCGCTGGTGCTCCAAGGATATGGTGGCACAGGAACATTGGCGGCACCTTCAAGAACGGATTGGAAACAGCCAGCACCTTCCTAATAGCGCGCTTTGGCATTGACCAAGAAGGGTCCATTAAAAAGTTTGTCCGACTCGCCCCTGATGAAAGTTTTGCTTGCAAACGCTCAAGTGTTCTATGTTTAGATGTGTAAATTCACTTGAGGCCATGGTCATACTGGCGGTGTTGAGCTGCGTTGAATTCTTCGGTGATGATGCCATCCCACCCCAGATGTCTATGCCCTACAACATGGTTCGTGTCCCAGCAAATGGTCATTGCTTCTGGTCATGCTTGTTTTTGGCAACGGGTGCGTCTGAGAAGCAGTTTTTGGGATGGGCCCAAAGACCTCGAAACCAGCAGGGCTTTACTTCGGGAAACGATGCTAAAGCTGAAGAAGCAGCTGTGAAGCACTGGGCTCTCCAGCTTTCTATGCCCGACGAGTGCCGACATCGTTTTGACAGCCAGCACAGTGCAGAGGAAGCTGACATAGCTCCTTGTTAGCGTGTCCATGAGTACTTGTTGGAATGGGAAAAGGATTGGACGTTGACTGGGAAATGATCACTGTAGAAATTGAATGAAAAAACATACAGTACTGTAGTACAGTAGGAACTTGGTGAAGGATACGAGCTCAACTCAACATTCTGATTTGATCTTAGGAATGGGCTGCAGCCGCACTCAAACTTCGTATCCTGGTTGTGACTGGACAGGCTAACACGGAAACCATCACACCCACACAGGTGTATGGATGTGGTGAACAATCTGTGTGGCTGTTGAACAGCTTTGTTGTCGATGGGGCAAAGCAGGGTGCCCAACACTTTGATTTGATCACGCAGGCAGGGGTTGAATGAAGAGAAGGTTGCTATGCTGTTGGTACTGTACTTCAGCTCTTCAGCTCATTGTGGGTACTGTAATGCTTACAATTGTGTTCTATGTTTGCGTAGGCCTCCTTGCTTTGCGAAGATGATGATGCCATCATCGATGCAGCCGCTGACCTACCCCCTTCTTCAGATGAAGAACAGGTTGATTCTGCCATTCCCGCATCCTCTGTGACAGCCAAAGCCGTCCCTGCACCCTCTGAGACTGTCCAGGAGCTGGCGCAGTGCAATTTAGGCCCCAACCCCTCTTGCTACTGTACAGAAACACTGGAGTCTTCCTTTGGTTACATGTTAGGAGGGTGCAGGTTTCCCCTGCCATGTGCACCACACAGTGAACCAGCTTTTCAAGTCTGACCAATGGTTTTGAGCCAGACAGAAAGTATGCACTTGTATCACCAGGAAAAGCATGTATATTTGCCATTGATGGCAGACTATTTCCACGCGATCAAGGCAGGCCAGAAGACATGGGAGTTTCGTCTGAACTCAAAGTACTGGCAGTCGCGGCTTCATGGGGCAACACACTGTGTTTTCAGTCTTGGCTTCTTAGACACACAAAGCTAGCCAATGTGGGCAGGTTTTCTTTTCAAACTCCACTGTTGCTGCTAACCACAACTAACATAGACTACAAGTAATGCGTTTCAAGTCCAACCTGTAAGGTTATGGGAAACAACGTCTGCCACCATTGAAGATACTGCAGCAGAAGCTCATCAGCCGGGAAGAGGCGGAGAAACTGGGATGCCCATCAGGCCAAGCATTTACTGATCTTTTTGGACACTGCGGCTATCTGATTGCAGTAGAGTTCGAGCGTTCGATGCAGGACTGTGCAGTATACTGTACGCATTTGATTCCTGTATTGTTTTGTTTATGCCCATCATTTTGATTGTGGAACTTTAGCTGCGCATGCCCGCGCTTAAACGTGATTGCAAGGAGGCCAAGCCAAATGATGGTTCCACTAACGAGAAAGCGGCCACGACAGAACTCGAGGAGCCAAATTTTGCATTTTTTTCACTCCATGGGCTCCACGAGAGAGAGAGAGATGGTGTCAACAAAAGCATCCAAAAAACAACAGATGAAAACTTTGTGTACTGAAAAATCCACTACTAAACTGGCCCAACGAATCATTTTGGGGGCATCGGAGAGGTGTCCAACATGGCGGCTTTCCTGGATCCTTTCACATGGCTGCATTCAGCTGCTGTGCTCCCAAAAAAATGCACCCCGTGTTCTATGTTAAGGCTGTGTGTCAGCTTCGTTGTTTTTTTGTATTGGCCGCCCGCCTCACGATAGTGTGGTACAGTGCTGTAAGTACTGTAGTAGAAAAGAGCTGCAGTCCAGAACAGCAGTTTAGGCTTCAGCCCCTGGTGGTGCCCTGGTGGTGTTTACAGAAACCCAAAGCCCAAAGCCCTTGTTCTATGCTATGTTAGGGGTTGTTGTAGGAGTTTACAGGATCTCCTGCCATGTACCCCACACGGTGAGCTACTGGAGCCTTTCAAATCTGACTGGGCAGAATGTATGTGCGCGAGTGACCTTAACATAGAACTTGTTTGTGGTTTCCGTCGGCAGGAGCGGGACGAAGGTGATCTTGACATGGAGTTGGCATGGTTGGCTTCAATCCCTGAGGATATGTGGAAAACGTTTTCAAGCAAAGAAGGAGTTTATAGACTTCCCACAGGCTTCAAGATCATGATGCCCGCATCGCACAGTGGAAAGAGAGAAGAGCTCTTGATGGAGGACAAAGTCCCTTGTTGCGGAAAGGGAGAGAGTGAGAGAGATGTCGGCTCTTTCGTGGGGGAGACACCGGGCGGCCAGGAGTTGAGATGTCCTTTTCTGGTGGAGCCAAAAACAATCGTTCAGATGGAGGTGCAGCCACAGCTCCCAAAAAAAATTACCAAAAATGACAACTTTTGTTCTATGTTAGGTGTTGGCGTTTGTCTCGTTTTTGGGTGCTGGGTTCCTGGCCCAAGGTAACATCTACCACCCTCTCGACTCCGGTTGGGGCAGGTGGAAGGATGGACATCGGAGTGTCAAGCTGTGGAGACCTACACCGGTGTATATGTCTTGAAGTTTCCTTTTGAAACAATTTTTTACAACATTTTCATGTTTGCACAACTTCCTTCAAACAGACTCTTCAAACCTCAAGGAAAGACAGGAACTGAAGGAATTAGACCAGGAAAAAAACTAAACATTAAAAATTAACAAGCTACTTTTTACACTTTTTCTCCTCTCCCCCTGTCTCTGTGTCTCTTCCCTTAACGGGGGGAGTCCGTTCGACTCTTCGGACCGCATCTCCGAGCGAACCCTGGTGCCGTGAGAGATGGACCGTGCAAGTGTTGGGCGTCGGCGTGGGGGACTGAACCCTGGCACCGAGTTCGCCGTTCGGCCCTCCCGAAGGAGTGACCGGTCACCCCTTGGAGTTCACTCCCCCGTTAAGGGAAGAGACACAGAGACAGGGGGAGAGACTGACTGACTGTGACTGGACTGACTGACTGACTGACTGACTGACCCGACTGGTCATCGCAAGGTTTGATCATTTAAATCGGAACTGATGCTTCTCAAGTTCAATCAAGTTGCCATGCATTGTTGTCGCAACCCGGAAGAGGAGGAGGAATGAGGAGAGGAGAGGAGAGCAAGCAGCAGGCGGTGGAGCCACGTCTTGCGGTCGCCACGCATCGGTCCGCGTACCCACCCCCCGCGTCCTCGGATCCGGTCCGCCACGTTCGGTCCTCGGAGCCCACCCGGACGTGGGGAGTCACCTCTTCGGACGTGGGGCGGGGAGAGGTGAGATGCGAGAGACAGGGGGAGAGGAGGAAGTGTAAAAAGTAGCTAGTTACTGTAATTTTAAAAGTTTAGTTTTTTTCCTGGTCATATTCCTTCAGTTCCTGTCTTCATTACACTTCTAAAAATTCGTTGAAGTTCACTATGTTCTTTCAATTTCCTTCAAATTCATAAATGGTCGATGTTCAAAAAAATCAGGGTCCATCAATCAAACCTTCAAAACCAAAGGACAACAATTTTATATAAAATCCTTTACTAAACTGGCCCCCCAAAATCACTTTTTGGGCCTTGAAAAGGGTTCCCCCC